TGTTCTAAATAAAATACAATGCATTTCAGGTACAATTTTTATATTTGTTGCGTCGTACGTTTGGAAGTCGTTTAAAAATGTTGAAAATTACGATTGCCTTTACGATCTTATCTGCTTTTAGTGCTGTTCTCATGTAGGTTTTTGATTTGCTTCAGTTTGATTTTACTCAACATTTCCATAAATATTGCTTGGAACTTTTAGCAATGTTGCATTTAGAAGTTTATTTGCATTCCTTTTTCGAGACAATACGAGTGAAATGTGAATAAATATTTTTAGAGTTGCTCAAATGAAATGTTATCAGTGCAATTCACAGAAAGAATCCGATTGTGAATCAAGTGATGCTGAAGTGCTGAAGAAATATTCCAAAGACTGTGTTGTCCTCAAAGAGGGTACCTACAAGGGAAAAGAGCCAATCGCATGCCGTAAACTTGTTCAAGTATGCCACTAGATTATATCCGTTTCGTATTAAACATTAGCGGTGTTAATGATTGTTGTGCATCCGTTGAATCCTGTTCTGAATGTTGTTCATATTCAGCGGTTAATCGAATCCCATTGAACAAACAAGTGCATTATATGTATTTGAAATGTTCTAGAGCGAGAGTACTTGTTTTTCCATTCTCTAATTGGTTTACTGCTTCAAAAGACCATCAAATCATCTATGAGATGAAATGATCTTCATTCAATGGGTTATAAATTGATAAAGTATGATTTATTGGTGTCGGATTTGCTGATTGATATAATCGCAGAATTGAAGGATATTGATTCGTCTCGTCGAGTTGTTCGCGAGTGTGCGTACACCGGTGATAAGAACTTGGACGGTATGCGTAAGCAAGGCAATAAAGGTGTTAAAGTGTTGTTTTATCAGTGCCAAAATACTGATCAAGTTGGTTTTTAATTGGTACATTTGTCATTAGGTTGCAAATATTACATTCACGAATGATTAGATCATAAGGCTTGTAGTGATTGAAGTTGAGATATTTGAAATTGAATATGACAAGATGATAACGATAAATGTGATGTAAAGTAGATTAATTCGAGTGGCAATGTTAAATGGAATACATCAGCGAAATTATTGATTAATTTTGAGATTCATTTATTTGAAAGGGCGATAAAGTCATGTCTCAGCAACAATCTTGACTGAGTGTTGCGGGTGGGCACATTTTCGTCGATGCGTCGTTGTAGACTTCCTTCTTTTTATATTAGCAGTAAATGTTTGAATGCAATTAAGCAGTCTTATAACGGACCACATTGCAAATTTCTCATTTCGATAGCAACAGTTGATCGGCAATATCATTCAGTTAAAGGCGTTGAACGTATTTGCCGTGATCCGTACATACACACA